TCCCGCCCTCCTGCCCCAAATGGGCGATGAGAATGAACTCCAATCCCAAAACTCCCAATCCACCATGTTCGTTAATATCCAAATCTAGCCCAACCCACGTCTTGACCCAGATCCAAAATCCAATATTTTGGATCTCGTCCGACCCAAATCCTATACCCATATTTCAAAAATACAGCTCCTCAGATCTAGATCGACCCAGATCCAGGATCCAGCTCGCCATGTCCCCGTACATCTCCAAACGGCACACCCCAGATCGCCCCCACCTGCAACATGCTGGTGGCTAACCGCCGTACGGTAGTCAGGTCGAAGCGGCCACCGGCCGCCTTGCGGGCCTCCGCCACATTGCTCCCCAGGAGCTGAACGTACGTATGTATGTACGTATGTATGTACGTATGTATGTATGTACGTATGTATGTATGTACGTATGTATGTACATACGTGTGCGTGGGTGTTGTGCAGAGGCCGGGAAGGGGAAGGGGGAAGGGGGAAGGGTAAGAGGGGCCCGCGGGAGGTTGGGGTCAAGGTCTTGCGGGGCTGGTGACTGGCGAGTTATTCGGGGGTAAGGAGGTGTGCGGGTGCGGATCATGGCCTTCGAGACGTACCCATACACGTCCACATGCTCACTTCATAATTCACACACTAACACACCATCCCCTCACAACCTCCCTCCTGTGTTTTGGCACCCCGCGCTGGGTGAGACTCCAGCACGGCGGTGGTCAGCTGCTCTCGTCGGCGGGGGGAGGGAGGAGGGGGAGCGCAAGCGCGGGCAGGGCACGGCCTAAGCAGCAGTAAATGCAATAGGGCCGGGCCTGCCTGCCTGGCAAGACGGCTGCTATCGCGATTTCTTTTCGCCCCTCGCCTTCCCTTTTTGGGGGCGTTAACGAGGCGCCGGTGCCCACCTCCATGATCATAAAGAACCGGTCCTCAAAGGTCCCGCAGGCGTGCACCGTGCAGACGAGGCTGGGCGCGCGCTCCTGTATTTTTTTCAGGACCTGCGCCGCGAAAGCGCAGACGTCCAGGACTACAATTTTGCATCCTCCGGTAGCAAGAGCGAGTCCAGCAGCTGAGGCATACCTTGAACTCCTGCTTGACGCTTCGCACATCTCGACGGCGCTCAATTTTCAAGGCATACTGCAGGAGCGATATATACAAGTCATTTAAGCTATACTATGCTAAAAACTTGCCAGTCATGCTGGCCGTCGACAGAGCAGAAGCTGCGCCTCCGCACCCGCTTCTCAGAATCCATGGTGTCTTTGACCTCGTACACCTCCGCAAACTGCCCTTCGCCAAGTTTTTTCACTATAAGCCATCTGTCCTGGTCGGGGCCTGTCCCAATACGAAACCCTTTGCCGAATAGCGGCATCTTCGTGAGGAAACCGTTGGTTTATCGGTGGTCCGGGCATGCGACCATATGTACTCTTTGGCACATAATTTCACTGTGCAAATGCAAGTTACATTTCCGTTACAGTTCTGGTGCATGTACGGCGCATTGCCAGTTACCTAAAAACGCAATTCTCGGCGCCAATCGTTTGCGTGCCCCTTCGAGCTTGCATTTAATTAAGCTTCAGTAAAATTTAATATTCCTCCCACGTTCGTGGCCTACGTGCCTCGATGGCATCACAGAAAAGCAGTCGGCCACTTCTCCGTGGGATTGCCGAATCGCAGATTGTTCAACGCCATGTTTAGAACTCAGAGCTGCCTTTATGGTGCCACACGCAAGCAAGCGCATACGTTGCTCCAAGAGCGGTTAACCCGCAGATCCTAACGGGCCTGTACGGGCAAACCAGCCAAGTGGGCGAATTGCCCTCTGCAGTTTATCTGCTCCTCTAAGGCAACTGAACCCAATCCATCATTTGAGGTTTACATCACATATAATATATGTGAAGGAGATCGTGAGAGATTCACACATGCCTACTCGGCGACGATGATGGCGACGACGATGGCTACGTATGTCAATAAACCGTATGCAGATTTATTTGGGGAAATATTTTCCAGCACCCCGTCTGGCCCGGTGGTAAATGATTTACTGCTGGAACCCTGTCTTGGGGGCGCACTGGAGGTGGGAAGCCCCCCCCCAAGTGTTTTGGAGTCGCCGTGCCAGCCCTACGCTGCATGTGACACACCATGGCGCAGAAAACACACATGATGTGTTGTTGTGCGTATATATGCTCACACATTACGACATGAATAAACACAAACACTAACATACAGATAAACACACACATCAACACATACATTCAAGGCTAGAGTTCGAATCCCAGAGAAGGTATTCTAGGTTTAATCGGAAGATGTGGGTTCGGATCCCCCCGCTGGTCCCTCCCCCGGTGATGTAGATCGGGGTGTTGAAATCTGGACATGTCGGGTTCCCCCAGTGCGCTGAGCGGCGGCTGGAGGGGGAGCCCAACCCTAAGACCTGCGCACTGCCGCAGAGCAGCGGTGAAGGAATGATCCTGCATAGGGCCTTGACCAGACTGCATGCCAGTTGGTGGTTGGATAACGAAACCGGGCGGCGGCAGCAGAACTCGCAAGGATAGGGTGGCGATTGGCAACGGTGTTAGTGCATTGGTAGATCGCGCAGCTGTAGAGCATGCGCTCTGTGGAAAGGAGGTTGCTTGGCATCTGAGCTGGTGTATGTTGCTGGCTAGGGATTCGAACAGGTGACGGCGCCTTACGTTGATGGGGTTGAACGGTGTTAGGATCCCAACTGATGAAGTGGATAACAATTGTGGGCGATATGCCCCTCAGCAACCGAAGCCGAGTCCTTGGGCGGTCTCTCTGATGGGTACGGCTAGGTGTCCAATGCGGTCAGTGTCGGCCTGGCAGATATAATACAATAAATACGCACATACACACACACACACTCACTGTAACAACCACACACACACTCACTGTAACAACCACACACACACTCACTGTAACAACCACACACACACACACACTCACTGTAACAACCACACACACAAACACACGAGCACAGGTGCTTACGCTAAGAACTTCTTTATGGAAATTTCTGGCGGTTGATGTCATCTGGCGTTATATTCGTACACACAAGGGAGGCGAAGTTGGTGCTGGTAAACACAAACACATGCACACTGACTTCCTCGGATTTCATGTATGTATGATGTATGATGTGTGAAAAAGGGGGGTGTATCTTCGCCCGTGGCAGCTACCCTGCGAAACCCTGCCTTCCCCGGAATTTCGGGGCACCCTCATCCAGTCACCCTAGTCAACTTCTCAGTGGATCGCTCAGGTTCTGCACCCACCACCAGCATCCAACGGAATCTGCCGGGTCGACAGCGGCGCAACTCCATTCCTGGTCGGCTCGCGGGTTAACTTAATCCCAGGTCACCACCGTCCATCAACAAGGGGCGCAATGCCTTCCACCATCGGAAGGACTTTCGACCCTAATGGGTATCGATCCTGGGATCTCCCGGGGGCAATGGTCGCGCCTTACCAGTAGTGCCAAATGTATGAGTGTACTAGAACATATACATATACATATACATATACATATACATATACATATACATATACATATACATATACATATACATATACATATACATATACATATACATATACATATACATATACATATACATATACATATACATATACATATACATATACATATACATACATGCATACGTATACGCACATATACGTACCCCGGCTCAGAAAATTAAAACACCTTCATCTCATTCTTACAGAGCCTGCCGGTGCGCCTGGTAGCAGGCAGGACTTCCGCCCAGGGCTGCGTTTCTTCTTCCTCAGGTAACAAACAACCGCAACAACGACCCTAACCGCATCAGCCGGTTACCCCCACTACCACCATTAACTCCCAGCTGCAGGAGCAGCAGAAATTCCAGCAACAGAAAAAGTAATAGCTGCCAAAACAGGAAGCCACCAAACTTGATCTGTAGAGTCCTGGACGAGACAGACAGACAGACAAACAGACCGAACAAAGCAAAAAAACAAAACAATGAAATGTTGAAAAGGTACGAACGGTACGAAGGCGCACACACTCACAGTGGGGCACCAGACAGACGTGAAGGCAACAACGCGAAATGAAGAGCGGCCCCCAACAGCAGAGTTTTAAGCCAACATACATACATACATACTCTCGCGGCCCACAGTGTAATCTAAGTCATACATACCAGCCTTTTCCCCCTATCACACCCTCTTTCCCTTCCCCCCCCACCAACTTTCCTAAAACATCCCCCCCATTACAACTCACCTACTCACCCCCAACCCCACACACATACACACACACACGCATTCCCGGTTTAGATCACGAACATGCACACACACACACAGACGCACGCACACCACCACACTCATGCACTCGCCCAGCCCCTGTGCTTTGCGGGCGAGCTACGCCCTCGCCGCTTCCCTTAGTGTGGGCGATACCCCATATCTGCCCATATCCAGGTTTCGGAGGAGCATGCGGACGCTTCTATTTCCTGTTTCCTATTCCAATTTCAATAAAAGAAACAACTTATGTGTTATGTGATATGTATGTGATATTAAAGATGAAAACAGAGGACTTCTCTTCAAAGCTTTTCTCTATGTCTCATCTCTATCGCTATTATCGCCATCACTATCACCGTCATCCTTTGACATCATCCGCCTAGGGTTTCCCCCCTTCCGGGCGCTGCGACAGAACCCATCGCTCCTCGATCCCGGAGCTGCTGGTACTTAGATCAAAGTCGGCTGACAGGCCGCTTGCCCGGAGAAGGCCCTGGATTGCCATACAGTCGTACACGTTCAGTACGGCGGCACGCCGGTAGGCGAGGGAGGTGAGGCCTGGAAGAGCGGGAGGGCGAGAGGAGAGGGAGGAGAGGGAGAAGGAGGGCGAGTCACGGAGAGGTGCAGGGAGGTGGGCAGATGGCATCGAAAGAGCTTCGTGCCTACAGAGATACATACATACATACATATACATGCGAGGTGCGTTGGAACGTAAGTTCACGGCTGGTGGCTGGGAGGTGGCTGGGTGGAAAGATAGTAGGAGATAGGTGTGTATGTGTATGGAGGGACACCAGGCTGGTTGTACGGGGGGGGGACACCTCTGACGGGAAACGTTGATAAGCGGAGTGGGGACGCGTGTGTCGTGTGTCTGTCTGTCTGTCTGTCTGTCTGTCTGTCTATCTGTTCACTCAGCTGCCTCCCTCACCCCAAAGGTTGGCAGGACCCGTGATTTTAACCTTGAACGACTGCTCCGCGTCATTAACGTCGTACACCATAGCCTGTACGGCAATAATGGGAAAGAATGGCACGTGCATCCGTACGTCAGCAAAACCTGGTGTTGTACATGACACCGCACAGCCCCCGCTTTTTGACACCAGGTAGACCTCCAATCCAACAGTAAATACAAAACCGGCATGACAATGTCTGCCCGAGAACATTAAACCCGTCCGTGACCCCGTCTCGTTGGTCGGTTGTTGTCGTACCTTGAGTGCGTAGCCGTTGTCGACCATGATATCCAGCAGCTTCTGTACGGCAGTCGTTATTGACTCCAGGGAGGCGCCTGGTGCTAGCGGAGGCGGCGCACCGAACTGGAAGCCCTGCAGTAGCAGCAGCCGTAGCAGTAACCGTAACCATAATAACCACCACAACTACCAACAGTTCATCACTTACCCGGAAGCCGTCCTTGAGGCCTGCGTAAATACGGTCACCAGTACGAATTAAAAACGCCGTCGGCAGTTGGGAGTTGTCCGCCAGAGAGAGATCCCGTCGTACAATGCGGTACAGGTCAGGGCAGTCCTCGCAGTACTCCTAGGAGGCGGAGGGTGGCGGGAAAGGGCGTTAGGGCCTTCGGAGGTGAGGTTTGTACGGTCAGGGCCGACGCAGCAATACACGTGTCGTACAGGGGGGCTGAGGGGGCCCGGGAGGAGAGGATCAGAACCAGTAGTGCTGGTCGTACGGGGAACATGCTAGTGTTGCTAGTGTTGCTGGTGTATTTTACTACTACTCTTAACTACCGCTGCAGCTCACCTTAAAGACCTGCTGCCCTTGCGGCATCTCACGTGAAATGGTGGAGAACTGCCTGGAGGCGTATGTATGTAAGTATGTAAGTATGTGACCGGGGACCGCACCGGGAGAGGGAGGGGGAGGAAGTAGGCGGTGGAAAGGCGGGAGCAGCGGGTTATGAACCCCCCCACACACACACACACCACCAGCACACACAGAGGACATGGCCGGCCGGTGGTGGGGAACGCGAAGGCAGGGCAACCAGCTGGGCGGGAGAGGGCGGAGATGGACAGCAGCAGCAGCAGCAGCTGGCTGCATGTGAGAATTCGGTCTTCCGCGGATGCGAAACACATAACCATCAGATTGCACATACACAGACAGATACACGTACACACTCACATGCCCACATACAGACAAACTCCGTACGGAACCTTGCGGCTAACCGACCGAACGTAGTTCAGCGCAACCCCTGGGATGGAGATGTGGCCCAGGGCTCAAGGACAAAACCCACTCTTCCCAAACCCGCGCGCGCATCGGCGCATGTTGTCCCCGCCCGCGCCGCCCAACTCACCGCGCCTAAACCCTTAAAACCCCCCAACCCCCTCTCCAAACCCCCAAAACCCCCTCTCCAAACCCCCCAAACCCCCTCTCCAAACCCCCCAAACCCCCTCTCCAAACCCCCTCTCCAAACCCCCCAAACCCCCAATCTCCAAACCCCCAAACCCCCAATCGGGCCCTCACGAGTAAGAGATGAAATCGAAGTACAGCGAGTCCGTCACATCACCCTGAGGAGGGAACGGGTGGGGAGAGGGGGAAAGACGGGTGGGGAGAGGGGGGGGGTGATATGCAAGGAGGCAGGGGAAACGGGAGGAGAGTGAGAGGACATGAATGCCAAAGTCACAAAGGAAAGGCGGCGCCGGTGCCCCTCAAGCGCGCTCGTCCTTGAGGGAGAGCGTGTCGGAGAAACATAGAGATTTACATTTAGGGATAGATTTGCATGGAATGAAAAAAATCAAGGAAGGCTGAAAAGGTTCGGGAAGCGCCGGAAGGGCCGAGAAAATTGTACGGAGGATGAGGGCTTTTAGGGTATTGACCCGCGCCGTGGCGTAGCCAGTGCGGCAGCAGCAAGGAGGACGGGGAGGGGATCGGTGTTGGGGGGAAAAGACGAACCACGAACGAGTGAAGGAAAGAGTGCTGCGGCAGATGCACAGGAAGCAGAACTGACCGGTCGTGAAGAAGCAGTCCTCGGGATGATGTAGTGATGACGACAGCGGACAACTACCTACCTAGCCGCCAAGACTAATATAAGAGCGGAAGAAGAGCAGTAGAGCCCAGCCAGTTAAGGTAGGTGTAAAGGCGGCGAAAAAGTAAGCAAAAGGTAGGTGTTGGGGGCCCCCCAGGTGCAAGGTTGGAAGGAAACAGCGAGTGCGCGGTGCACCACTTACGATGCGGGGCTTTAAGGGAGAATACTGCAGGTTGTAAGCCTCCTGCTCGCTGGCCCGAAGCTTCCAGAAAGCCTTTTGGAACTCGTTCTGCGGCCGGGAATGACGAGCATGGTGTGTCATGACATGGATAGGGTCATTGTGGGAAGGTGAGGAGTGGGGCAGGCAGCGCCGAGGTATGAGGTGTGCATGGTGGGGACGATGGGTTATGGTAAAGTTTGGGGTGGCGGAAGGGAGCGGACTCGACCTCCAATTGACGAGGGCGCCTCACGAACAAAACATGGGATATGGAGAAAGAATACGAGGATGCTGGTCGTGGGACTGGGACTGCTGGAAGGAACGCTTTATGGAGGTTCGCAAGACCTTTTCAGTAGTTTGGCAACCACTTCTTAACAACCTGCTGCCCAAACGCATGACGATTTATTGGATCATAACTCCTTACCATTGGAATAAAGTCCAAATCATCTACGGTCTCGTATGCAGATCTCATGAGCAAGACCGCGAATGGCTGGTTAAGGGCTTTGCGCGGAAATAAGATTGGCTCCGGTGCGGGCGGAAAGACCCTGCTCAAATAACCTTGTAGTTCGCTAGCGTATGATACAGATGCTTGGGTGAAGGGTACTGAAATGAATGACCCTGCTAGGAGGCATCGTCTGGACAGGCTTGCATGGCCTGCAACGCAGCGTCCGCCGTGGACGTTACTGCTTATGCATTGAAGTTCAACTTTCCTTCCAATACATCTTTGTTTCATCGAAGCCGGTCGTTTACATGATAGCTGTAGTAAGCTGGGCGGCATCTTACAGCGAGAGATTTCAATTACTTTCAGGATGCGCAAAAGTCACAACGTCATACCAGGGGCCTTCGTCAAGGCACCTATAGTCACTCGTAAGAAAATAACTCAAGTCCGCCGGTCATACTTCGTGAAATGCCGTAACTCACACCACTCCGTCATTTTGCCGTACCCATGGCGATCGCACACCACGGCCATGGCAGCCGCCTTGCCCCTTTTGCCGCCACAGACCAAACAGAGTCGCGATAGCATGCATGACATCCCCAAATATTGAACCTCACACGCGACCAGGGACGACCCCTCTTCGGGATAAGGGGAGATAACGCGGACCCAAAACTCCGCGGGAATCAGACAACCTAGTTTCCTTTCAAAAAGGGGCTTCTCCTTCAGTATGGACGCGCGCAAACTCAGCGCACACTAACTGACAATATCGGGTCCAGTCCAATCCTTCGGCTCCTGGCTCCTGGACAAGCCTGCTGAACCATAAAAGAAAAAGCAGGTATCAATCCTTAGCCCCCCCCCACATAAATGCAAAGGAACACACAAGGTCCTGCAGCTGCAGCCAAAACTGATTAGCCCCACTTTTCCCAACCGACGGCGGCTGCGCTGCGGTCATGTTATGAGGCCTCACACACAATGGCTGCGCGACGCGCCTCCTGCATAGGGCCCACCACCTCCGGCAGGCCCTGAAGTCAAGGCGAGGCGCAACACGCGATCCTCCAACCCGGCCGATAAGCCATCTAGTACTTATTGGGAACTATTTTCGGGGACCAACTCCATATAGTGGTGGACATCTCACGGATATCAGACCACTTTATTCATGTCACCAACCAACGGGCAGCACGACGGCATGCATGCCCCGCACAGTCCCGTATAGTCAAGCCACAGGCGCACAGGCACACGACTCGACTCGGCATGGCTGACACGTCGCAACGAGCCGCCGCCGCGTTTCCATCTCCTCGCCTTGGAGGCGAGGAGGAAATCACATGCATACAGACACCCTATATACACACACACCATGCCAAGTGCAGTGTGCTGAAGATCGTCGCCCAAAAAACATACGCGCAAACACAAACCATACCACTAGTACCTCCAGGTGGTTTTAGGGCTGTAACGCTACGGTCCAGGGAAGAGACACACACACACACACGCGCGCGCGCACACACACGCGTGTCGTCAAAAGAAAATTTATGCTTCCGAAACCACCCACGCACCCACCCACCCTGCTTTCTCGAACAGTAATTCCCCCCCCACACAAATCTCATCTCGAAGTCGATGATGTCAAGAGGCAGTAGCCACAGGAGAGTGCATCGGAGTAGTGAAGACCCCGATACGCTTTTGACAGAGGCGTCACTTTCCGTACTAAAGAGTCGTATCGTACCTGCCGTACAGCTTTCCAGACGTAACAGACAGACCGATGCGCACGCGCGCTAATTGCGGATCCGCAATTTGAGGATGCTAAAAATCCCACGCTCCCACCACGTTCCGTTCCGTTCCGTTCCGTTCCGAAAGCAGCTTCGCAATTCCTCCCACGCATCCCAATCACCGCAATTCATCCAGCCAACATACCGTTCCATCGCTTAAAGTCGGCCTCCTGTACATGGCGCGTGGCGCTCGCAAAAGCAAGTTGAGTTGCACCTGGCGGAGTTCGATTTCTCTTTCCTTTCTCAGCTCCCGCCATTAAAACCATTCTCATCAAATTTCCTCCAATCCTCCTCCCCCTCCCCGTCTTCATCACCATCATCATGGTCGTCGTCGTCGTCGTCATCAGCATCATCAGTAGCAGCATTTACATTTTCATCGTCTTCTTCTTCATGCCGTGATATTTATCACGAAGGCTATATATGAAGGGGATGGACAGCCTGCATGACCACGTCACCATTGGGTCGGGTCGACTCGCTCCTGGTGAGCGCCTGTGCCTTGGCAACCTGCACAACACAGCATCAGCATGATGGGAAGGAAGTCAAAGTCAAAAGATAACCTGCATAACGATGAAAAAGTCCACATGAGCAAGTATACCACAAGCAGCACCAGCATATGTACAAGTCAGGGCCACGGCCAAGGCGGCTTTTTGCAGAGTGAACTCCTTCACCGAAGCAAAAGCAAACACCCACGTCCACGCCCACGCCCACCTCTACGCCTACATCCAGGCCCACGTCAGCGCTCCTGTTCTCATACCCCGGGTGTCTTCAACCGTTAACCTCTAACCGTTAACCTCGTTGGCCACCTCGTTAACGGTTAACCTCTAACCTCGAGGCTCTTCAGCCGTGTTTAACACGAGCTCGCCACCCCGACCATCCACCATGTACCCCGGGGTTACCTCATACCGGACCCTGCCGTACACATCGTATACATAGATGTACATCAGTACCGCACACATGCCACATGCCGCACACACCACCCTTGGCCACTCGCACAACACAACCGCACGGCAGTACCTGCAATTTTACAATCATTTGTTCGATCTCCTCCGGCGTCATCTCGTTCACGTCCGTCTCCATGGGCCCAGCGCCGTCCGTTCCCTCCTCCGCCACTTCCTGCGGCGGCGTGTACGGCTCCTGGGGGAGACCTGGTGCGTGGCTGAGGGAGGCCTGCTGGAACATGACGCTGCTGCGCCGCCGGGGCATCGACGTAATGCGCATCGATGTACGGCGCTGCAGGTGAGGGAGGAAGAAGACGGGGGAAGGCGGGGAAGCAGGACATTAGGTAAAAGGAGGCGGCCAGGCGGCCGGTAAGGAGGCAGGTCCTGCCCCCCTCTCGCCCTGCCCTGCCCAACCCCCACGCCCAGCCGTCTTATCCTTTCCACCTAACCCGCCTGTTGCTTCCCGACCCGACAACCGATCGCATCTGGGTCGTCTGTGTGTGTGTGTGTGTGTGAGAGTGTGTGTGTGTGTGTATGTGTGTGTGTGTTTTGCTCTCCTCCTTCCCTACCTGATAGGTCCGCACCCAGGGGTGGTGCAGAAGCTCCATGACAGTGGGCCGGTCGCCCGGGTGCTTGCGCAGACACTGGCAGATGAAGTCCTTCGCAAACTCCGAGATCTTGGCGGGGAATTCGGGTACGGAATGCATGATGCGGTCTACGCTATCCAGTTGAGTTTCGCCTGAGGGGATGAGACCGAATAAGAGCGGGCAGGAGGGGCGGGGATGGAAACGGGAGAGGATCAAAACCGGGGAGGAAAAGCGACGCGACGCAGCTCGGTGCAGAGTGTGACGTAAAACGACGAAGTGCAGCAACCCACCCACTTCCCCGCCAGGAGGTGTGGGGCGCTGGTGGACGGGGCCCAGGAGGGGGGTGAACGGGCACTTGATTGGTGCACCTCATCATATTTTTTTTGAATTTGAATTGTTACAGAGTGGGAGGCTTCTGGGCCATTTGAACCTCATCATATGCTTGCAAAGGAAAGGGAGGGAGAGAGAAGGAGGCCAGCTGTTATACCGCCTGCTGAGCAACCGCCGCTTGAGCGTAGGCCCGCCAAAGACACTGGCTGCATCTTCCCTTCCCTCTTCTTTTCTGCGAGTACCACAGCTCCCAGGAAGGGGCAACCTAGACCAGGGTTGCGTATGTATGTATGTCTGGTATGTATGTGCGTATATCTTACCCGCAAACGGCGGGAAGCCTACAATGAGCTCGTACGCAAACACGCCGACGGCCCACGCGTCCACCGAGTTGTTGTAGTGGAGGTAGGGGTTGTTCTTATTCTCCTGCGGCAGGTTCTTGGGTGGACACCGAAGCACCTCCGGCGCCATGTAGTCGAGTGTCCCTGACCGCCATTGCGACCACAACAAACGCAATCCAAGAACATCAAAATTCAGGTATTGGGCAACGCTTTGCATTTTTAATCTACAGACATGCATCTTGACGTCACTGTAACTGCGATAACACTGCAGAGACTCTACACCGCGTCGCGGTCAGCGGCACGCCGCCTGGTGCCCTCATGCCAAAACAAGGACGAACAAAGCAACAGCAAAGCACACATGGGCGGGAGAGCGGATCCCAAGCCCGGTCTGTCTCCCCCCTCCCCTCTTCGGCCGCGTACCGCCCCAACTCGACTCTACTGTACTGCCAGGCAGGTAGGGCATAACGGCTTGCGACCCCAGCCCCCCCAAAACACACACACACACACACACACACCTGCACGTGTGACCGCCCGCTCCTCGTTCAGGTCAATGGCCAGTCCAAAGTCCGCCAGTTTCAGCACCCGGTGCTCCGTGAAGAGGACGTTCTCCGGTTTGATGTCCCTGCAGCAGGGGGCGGGCGGGTAAGACGAACCACTGACGATTGAAGCAGATATCAGAGGTAGACGGATATAGTCCAGGATTGGACAGACACACAGACCGACAGGGAAGAGGGGGCAGCGTCATTGCGAGAGGGTGGTGAGCCTGAGGAAACTCGAAGTGAGCAAGTGGGGAGGCCCCATACACGGGGGATGTGGGCCCGACACCCCATGTCATGCGACGTGCATTAAGCAAAATAACCAGGACCCCTGTGTTAACACCATGCCCGCGCCATATCCGTGTGCTACCGCTCGCCGTGCATTTCTCATGCAACTTATGGAAAAGTCTACTTGAAGTCAACAACAAAATGTTAGGTCGAGTTCAGTAGAGCCTCCTGCAAGGAAAAATGTAAAAGAAAAAAACCACACTAGGTATCTAATACATGTTGCGCAATTAGGGACTAGTAGTATTAGGGTATGTGATATACGATTATACCTGTAGCGGCTTGCTTTCGCATGCGTTGTTTCTTGCTTTGACCACAACCAGATTGTTTTCCCCTAGCCTTCTTTTCCAACGCACACACACACACACACGCACACACACACACGCGCGCGCGCCCGCCCGCTCAAGCCAAGATGAGGGAGTCCACATCACCGGCCTGGTACCTGTGCATAATGCCCCGCGTGTGCAGGTAGTGCAGGGCGAGCAGGAAGGGGTGCAGCACCATCTCCACCGCCTGGCGTTCCGAAAGGCGGCCGCCGTTCTTGTGGAGCAGCCGGTACAGGTCCCCACCCTCCGCGTACTCCTGGACTAACACCACATCGGTGGCCTCCTGCAGAGAATAAAGATCAGAAAGAGCAAATGCCAGGTAACGCAATGTCCAGGTAAAGTTACAAGTTACAAGTGCGAAACTTGTAACAAGTTTCGCACACTAGTGCGGGTGTGTCCGTAAAAGCCGGGGGGGGGCCATGGACGTAATGGTCATGGTCATGGTAATGGTCATGGTCATGGTAAAGCACCCGCCAGGTAAAGCAGGCAAGTTGAGGGAGCGGATGGCCTTCTTTATGCACCGCGCCAGAGCAGAAGCCACTGAGGGGGATCGTGGTCGTGGTGGGGAGGAGGTCTTTCCAATCCAGCGGACTTCTCAACGCCGCGACAGCGCGCCCCGGCTAAAAGGTAAATTAGCACAGCAGCACCGCTGACTCCGTGTCCTGTCCTGCCTAGGTTAGTGAGATGCCGAACGACCGGTTACGGAAAGGTTGCATTGGGCTTCTTCTCTCGGTCCACTCGCTTCCTCCCTTCCGCCCGTTTGGAACCGACGCTGGACATGATGCCAGTTCCATCGTCCAATCCCTGGATGGCAATTCCCTTTCCGGGATTTAATTTTCGCTCCTTCATTGCCTCCTGATCCCCTTATCTCGGATAGGCGCGGCCGGCTTAGGACACAGCGGCCGCCCGGCCGACTTCCCACAGACTTCCCCGAGCCCATCCACATCAACCGACCCCAATCCACATCCGCAAACCCACATCATTCACCTGCACTCCCTGCACTCCCTTTCCCGCTCACCCACCCATGTCCACCACACAACACAACGCGCAGTCATCCACATTCAATCCGCCTGGCCCTGACGCGCCCCTTGCCCCCTGCCTCCTCCGCCTGACGCCCCACTATACCCCGCCGCCGCCCACCCGCGCCTCCCTCACCCCTCATTCGCATTCACCCCCTTGTCCGCAGCAAATCCATGTCAACCCTCCCAGATCAACCCAACCAACCCAAACCCACATCCACGACAAATTCCCGTCCCTTCAATACCCCACCCAAACCCAACTCACACACACACACACCCCAAACCCATCCACAACGGTCCGTTCTCCTTACCTCCCGCCCCCCGACCGACCGAGACCCACATCAGCATGGCCCCACCTGGAATGCCGCATACAAGTGGATGATATTCTGGTGCTGCAGGCTGCTGTGGACCCGGATCTCCCGGAAGACCTGGTAGTGGTTCAACTCACACAGGTTCTGCATGTGGTACACCTTGAGTGCGACCACCTCCAGAGACTTCTTGCACACCGCCTGAAAGAGGTCAAAGAGGGGTCAGGGAGGGGCGTTAGATGCGGTCAAAAATAACCCACGGCGGCACATCACATGCTGTGGAATTTGAATTCTTTTTGGATTGGATTGGAGATTTCAGCAAATGGCGTAATGCGTGAGCACCCGCCTGCCAAGTGCTATTGTCAGCTGTGGCCAGGTGTTACTGTCAGCTAGTAGCTGTGCTGGCGAAGAGGCCAACGTGTTGGAACACGCTACACGGTTATGAAAAAACCCATAACTTATATGAGAATCACACTACAGCCGATGATGGCAGCAGTTTCAGCTGTTGTGATATCTGGACGAGGCTGCCGGGGCGCGCCAGGAGTACGTTAGCTCGTTTCATACAGAGTTGCGCTCCTCTTTGCAACCCGTGCTAAAAAGGCCTCGGGGGAAAGCTTGCACGGAGATGCCCTTCAGCTGACCCTCGGTTTCGTCAACTGAATTTGTTACCGATGCAATGGTTTGCCGCGAGAAACCGCCCTCTATGGCATAACAAAACGAAGTCACCGCACGCACTTCATCGCCGCATGCGTATCCCATGTATTCCACACAGCTGGCCCATATTTCAATTTGTAGCTTGCATAGGTAAGATGCAAAGATACACACACACACACGAACACACACGCACGTGCTATAATTCGCAGGGAAACGCGTGCGGCTGCTTCCGAAATTGCATCCGACGGCTCAGCTCCTCAGCTTACCAAACGGGCTCCTTCCTGTCGCTGCTTACAACAACAACAACAACAACAACAACAAAGAAATCCGACATCGCACGGCTAAGCGCACCTGGTACACGGTGGACGCATAACCGGTGTACATCTTTCGAATAATATTGTAATCGGCAAGCGACCAGCTCTTCCGTTGCATGGTCGCCGGCAGCTGCGGCGACAGCGATACAAGCTTGCCGCCGCCGCCGCCGCCGGCCACGCGGCTGGCGGCCGCGTCCTCCCCGTTCGCCGTCGTTGCCGGCAGCAGCTGCTGCTGCTGTTGATGCACAGCTCGGCCTGGTGACGCTAGCGACATCGCGTGCGGCTGCTGCTGCTGCTGCTGCGTAGGCGAGCCCAGTTGCTGCTGCGGTGACGTTGACGGCAGTAGCGCTGCCGCCGCGGTCGTCGTCGGGTGCTGCTGATGGGAGCTTAACTGAGATTGCAATGTGTGGGAGGGCGGGTGCGGGGTTTGTGCGGGCATCGCCTGTGGCGGGTGGGGCTGCAGGTGCAGCAATTTATGAGAGCCGCTGCCAACAGCCCCGTACGAAGGCGACTGCGGCACGGACGATATGCTAGAGACGCTATCCGTGGGGTGCTTTCGTGAAGAGGTGCTAGGGGCGGCTTGCTGTGACTGGACGTCGTCCATGGCGACATCTTCCGGAACTGTTGCCATACCGGGGTCGTTGGAGTGAATTGCAGCTGGGTGCAGCTGGGAAGGTTTGTAGGCGGGTATGGTGAGGGCGGGGGCCTGGTTGGCTGGCGGCCTTGGGGAGGGGTGTTGGCCCCCAGCAGCGGCTGCGGCAGCAGCAACCCTGGCTCGCTGCTTCTCCGCAGCGGCGACGGCAGCTGCTTGGTCCCTGGCCGCTGCGCTCGTGCCGGCAAAATAGTTTCCGAAAACTAGTTTGTTCTGACTCGGCTGTAAGAGCTGCTCCATTGCTGCTTTGCCTTCTGCCGAGCGCAACGCCATGTCGAGAGCAGCCGGTGTGGACCGACGCCGCCCCGAAGACGGATTAAACATGGTTGCCAGGTTTGGAGCTTGTGAAGTCTTTGATGTAAAGCTGTTCTGGTTGCTGCTGATCTGCACTGGCGGTAGCACAGTTGCTCCAAACGGCGACTGGTTGTGGTCCGATAGCATTGGCGATTCCTTCAGCGTAACCGTGTGTCCGTGACTTGTGGAAGCGTTGCTGCGCATGCTGCTGGTTGCCATCAGCTCGGGATGTGTGCGCTCGCCATAGCTGCTGTTCTTGCTCTTAATAGAGCTGAACTTGCGTGGCGAGTTCGCACCCAGGTTGCCGGGTGACTCAGGCCCTTCACTGTAATCCGTGCCGGAGAAACTTTCCTCTGCAAGACAACAAGCGCGAAACGGCTCGGGCTAAGCGCGAACCTGGGGAGGCGGCTCCCTTTCGAAATACGAGCACAACACGAGGATATAAGGCATCGGAAGGCAAATAGTCCAGGGTCGCATTCCCAATCATCAGCCTCGCCAGCCGGTACAAGCAACGGTCCACGACATACCCTTGCGACTCGCGCTGAAAATCCGGTCCTTGAACCTGCACGGTGCAAACAACCGCGTGACGAGGCTGGCGCACACCACACCATATGAGGCACACGGAAATTAATCAGTAATGCGCCCACTTTTTGAGGCCCTTCGACAACATTTCAGCTCCGCAATCCGGAAAGCTCGGCGAAAAGGGTTTCGCTGTTCTGAAACGGCACTGCTTGCCAAAGACTGCGCAGTATCAGAGGTCCAGCGACGATGTTAAAAATCTACTGTCTAAGCAACTCATCTGGTAGCTCGTTGCCGTTGCCTGGCAGCTACGTAACGCGGTTGCTCGTGGGCTGGAGCTGCTGAATCCCGATCCAAGCTAGCTACAGAGGCATCTCAACACGTGTCACAACAAAACCACAGTATAATTCACTAGCTTGCCATTGTGATGCGCGAACCAATCGAGTAGGTAACCTGGAACACAGTACGACAATGCTGAAATTGGAAAAAGAGTAACACCTTTCAATGCATCAAATCTGATGTAATTTTCCGTGCATGTTATATTGGCAATATGCTTCGGGGGCGCCTCAATCGCGGTGCAAGTCGGGCGTCCCGGCCGTTCACAAATGACAGAGCTTGTCACAAGCTTGCAAGGGGAAAATGGGTCGGTTGGTGTCCAAGGGCTGCTGCACCTGATGCCCCGGCGATGCCGGCAAAAGCGGTAAGGCCTCATGCTTTGCGTGGCGAGCGATGCGCTAAGCTGGAGGAGCCTCCGAACCTTCGATCAAGCTGCTTACTTCCTTAACAACGGTAAAGCTTAGCCGGTCGACGTTGCAGGCAGGCGAGGCACGGACGATTGATGGTAAAATCTCCGAGCCCACTGGACGCACGGAGAAAGGATTGATTGACACCCAGCCCCCTCGAGGTGAGGAAAACGATGGCCTAAGCGATGAAGCAACTTCAACATCCCCTCTCACAAAACTAACCCCTCTCCTAGCATTCGCTTTCGCGCTTGGTTAACATCTAGGTAACGGCTTGCCTACCCTTCCCCTCGCTTCCCCTCCCGAACGGCATTACTTCACCCCCGTCATCCATACGGGAGCCGGATCGCTGACTTTGGCTCATATACCTGTATTCGTCGCGGCGTTTCCGAGCCTTTACATCTGTTCTATTCTTTTCATCTGCCACGGTCATACAATCATGACCTAAGCTAAGAAGTTACGACAGATGTTCCGGATGGGACCTAAGCACCCAGCAGAGCCTGCACGTTACAACCGCTACCTCCCTCTGCACTTCTAGATAAAATTTGTTCTGACGGAAAAAAAACATGCGCAAATTGCTAACATCACACCGGCTCGCTTTAGGACATCGGCAGTGGTTTCCTGATCTCCTTTGCGTCACGTAATACCCTCCCTCGACCCCGCCATGGCACTCCTTTAGCAGTTGTTGATGCTATAAAGACATCGGCATTTAATTTTCCTTTTTGTATGACTGGCCCTTTCATAGAACATCCTCCCGCGCGCGTCCCTGCCCCTGCCCGCTTTCCCCCATCATTAGTATCATGGAGGCATCGGCAGTTGCTTTCCTTTGCACTTTTGCACACATTCATCCGAACCTTCTCTCTCTCGCTTGCTCTCTCTCGCTTTCTCCCTTTCGCTTTCTTTCTCTCTCGATCTCTCGCTTTCCTCTCCCTCCCCAGGCACTCGAGACTTTTTTCCCGAGGACATGCGCCTCCGCAATTGGCTGTTTGGGGAGTTCGCGGCCGTGAGCGCCGCCTTTGGCTTCGAGCAGTTTGACGCCCCCGTCTTGGAGAGCGAGGAGCTGTTTGTACGGAAGGCGGGGGAGGAAATAACTGACCAGTTGTACAACTTTGAGGTATGTGAGGGCTGGAGGGGGAGTGTGTGGGGCGGGGTGATGTGAGGGGATTCTGATGGGAACGCCCATCTCCGCAGTCGCGTCGTCATCACGTTAATGACTCCACCACCATCAGCAGCAGAGTTTGAAACCGCTTTGGTTCTCAGGGCAGCTGTTGTTGTCCCTTCCTGACTAGGCTGCCCATAATCACCAAAAAGATACCAACCATGGCTCTCCCACACAGTCCCACTCACTCACCTCCCAACACGTCCCAACACGTACGTACGTGTGTATGTATGTATATATATATACACATAGGTTATATACATATACATATATACACACATATATAAACGCGTAGGTTAGGCATTACTGGTAAAGGCACATACTTATGCTCCCGGAGATCCCGGGATCGAGACCTGTCAGGGTCGAAAATCCTTCCGATGGTGGAAGGTAAAGCGCCCCTAGTCGGTGGACGGTGGTGACCTGGGATAAAGTTGACTCGCGAGCCGACCAGGAATGGAGTTGAGCCGCTGTCGATCCGGCAGATTCCGTTGGATGCCGGTGGTGGGTGCTGAACCTGTGGTGGTGTCGATCCACTGAGAAGTTGACTAGGGTGACTGGATGAGGGTGCCCCGAAATACCCGCGGGGAAGGCAGGGTTTCGCAGGGTAGCGGCCACGGGCGAAGATATGACCCCCCGGTCCCACACATACATACATACATACATACATACATACATACATACATACATACATACATACATACATACATACATACATACATACATACATACATACATACACCACATCCCTTCACCCCCAGGACAAAGGTCAGCGCCGTGTGGCTCTCCGCCCGGAGCTGACCCCCTCCCTGGCGCGACTGGTGCTGCAGCGCGGCAAGACACTGCCGCTGCCCGCCAAGTGGTTCGCCATTGGACAGTGCTGGCGTTACGAGCGGATGACCCGGGGTCGCAGGTGGCCTCTGGGGGGTGTGTGTGGAGCAGTGGAATAGGGGGACCGTCGGAAGGACGACAAGGGGCTCCGTCGTAGCTCTACTCCTTCCAACGCTTTTTCGCAGCTTTCATTCTCCCAAAGTCCTTTGGCCGTTCATGGTAGCGAAAGAAAAATGAATTTAGGAAAGTTCATTTAGAAAATGACATGGCTGGATATACATACTGACTTTTATCCTCTACACAAGGCCATAACAGGAAATGTACAATTTAAAACGTGGATTTACAAAATGATTACTTTTTTACTTTGCAGTGTTTTCTTCTACAGATGGAAATGCCCTCCACGCTCCACGCCACGCTCCGCGGCCACCGCCCTTGTTCCCCTATCGTTGTTGTTGTGGTTGTTCAGGCGCGAGCACTACCAATGGAATATGGATATCGTGGGGATACCTGGCGTGGAGGCGGAGGCGGAGCTGCTGGCGGCCGTGGTGATGTTCTTCGAGCGAGTGGGGCTCAGCTCGGAGGAGGTGGGGATCAAGGTGTCGAGCAGGAAGGTGAGGGGGAGGAGGACGGCTGGGAGAGGAGGGTGGGGGGATGGAAAATGGAGGGCGGGGGAAAGGGTCCTGGGAGTGGGGTGTGGGGGTAAAATGTGCGGCAGGGAGTATGGAGGGGCCAATCATCTACACGAGGCCATGATGCCGTACATCTCCAACTGGGCCTCATTAGCAGCAGCGATGGCACCCATACAGTCAATCTGTCTGTATGTATATGTGTGTGTGTGTGTGTTGCGGGGAGGTTGGGGGCCAAAAGGATATAAGTTTGGAGTTTTGGGTTTGGGATGTTTTGACAACGTGCTACGGTTCAACCCGCGACCTGGGTTGGGCGGGAAGAACAGCGGAGAGGTGCCAAGGGGTGGAGGGTAGTGGCTTCTCTCTACTCCTACTCCGAGCCAACCAACAAACCACGTGACAACCAACAATCTCGTCACGCGCCCGTCGCGGCCCCCTCGGCCACGTGATTTCCTCGGGCTGTTTGAATATGAACCCCCAACACCCTCAACCCAAAGCACCCACACATACACACACATACAAATATACGTACATACATATGTACATACACATGCAGGTGCTCCAGTCGGTGTTATCTCGCTACGGGGTTCCCCCCGAGTCGTTCGCTCGGGTGTGTGTGATCTTGGATAAGCTGGACAAGCTGCCCAGGTGAGGTGCATTGGGGGAGGATGTGTGTGGGTGTGTATGGGGGGTTTGGGGAGGGAGAGGGGGGAGGGAGGGAGAGGGGGGAGGGAGAGGGGGGAGGAGGAGAAGGGGAGAGCATTGTGAGAGAATGCATTTTCTCGCGCACCAAGCACACACACACACACACACTCACACCACCTGGTAACGCGGCAAACGTAAGCGACGTTTGTTATTCTCTCGCACTGCTCGTTACCAATTTTACACAACCCACACCACGCCGCTTAGGAAACGTCTGGTACAGCAGGGCTTGTATACCTGCATGCATGTTCGTGTGCCCATGTCTGCCATTATGTCCATGCCTACCTGTGCGTCACTAGGGAGAAGGTGGAGGAGGAGCTAGCTGCTCTGGGTGTGCCCGCGCCCACCATTGACGGAATGCTATCAGCGCTGTCCTCCCTCACCTCCCTGGATCAGTTGGGGGCCTTATTGGGGTACGACAGTGAGGCCTACAACGACCTTAACCGCCTGTTTCAGTTGGCGGAAGGGTACGGTTACAAGGTAAGGTGGTGGCGAATGGAACGTGGGGGTGCTGGATTCGGGAGATGATCCCAAGCAGCTTCTCTCCACTTACATAAACACAATGGACCAACCAAATGAATACATAAACACCCACATATAGCATATACATGTACATCCACATCCCTCCCATCGTGGTTCGTCTTTCCCCCCATCTACATGCTTCAGGACTGGCTTGTGTTCGACCCCTCCGTCGTACGGGGGTTGGCCTACTACACGGGCATTGTGTTCGAGGGCTTCGACCGGGCAGGCAAGCTGCGGGCCATCTGCGGTGGCGGCCGGTACGACCGCCTGCTAGGTGCCTTTGGTGGGGACAACACGCCCATGGCCGGGTTTGGTTTCGGAGACGCCGTCATCGTGGAGCTGCTGAAGGAGCTGGGCAAGCTGCCGGCGCCGGCGCACCGGGTAAAACGGGGGTCTGAGGAGGCTGAGGTGGAGTGGGATGTAAACGAGGTGGAGGTGGGGGAAAGGTGTTTTGGGAGGGCAAGGAACAACAAAAAACGGGCGAACCCATATCCGTTGTATTTTTACATCATATCATATCATATCATATCATATCATATCATATCATATCATATCATACAATTGACCTCTCTCCCTTTTTTTTCTCTTTCCCCCCTTTTCCCGCCCCCTGCGCCAGTGGTTCATCTTGTCCCCCTTTCCCGCCCCCTGCGCCCCCATCCCTACTCCCCTCGCAGGTTGACGACGTGGTGGTCCCCCTGGACGCCTCCCTCCGTCCCGCCGCGTCGGGTATCGCCACCCGTCTGCGGCGGTCGGGTCGCAGC